AACAGCGGCAGAACAAGACGTCATATTTCAGTCTTGGGTATAAGCGTAGTTCAGTATGGCCGGCATGAAAAAGACTATAAAAGGCCATGGAATCTCCCAGATCCAAAGGCCCCTTCTGCACGGCAAGCTACGACAATCCCTCGACTTCAAAGAACAATAAAGACTAGACACAGGACGACAGTTGCAGAAGTTTCAAGAGAGCCACCAAAAAGAAAAAAAAAAAAAACAAACCAAAAAAAAAAAACAAAAAAAAAAAAGGTTGCCAACTGACCCTTGGGATGAATATGGAATTTGCAGTAAGGCTTACTCGCATACTAGATACGGTAGAGGTAGTACCGGGAGATGTTAAATGCATTGCTTCGTCAGCCTGGTTGCAAAGGAAACATATTGAACGTGTTCATTACATGTTGATACACGACCCCGGAGAACTCAACGCCGAGAAGAGGCTGGCTTCTTGTGAAACAAAACAGGGCCGTGAGAAAAGAAAACGCCTGAGCAGTGGCTTGTTGACGACAGCGGCGAAGCGTTGTGCCAGGAAACTAGGCCGAGACTCGTCGGTCGGTCGGCGGTGAAATCGTGTGCTTCATGTGTTCAAACTACTTGCACAAAGGTCTAGATCTGGAATTCCACCTTTTTTGGGGGTACGTGGCGTTAAATGTTGCAGATGGTGCATCTGACGGCTTTCTTGCAGCATTGTCATGTTCGCCCAGGTCTTTCGAGACAAGTTCATTGTCTTTGTTGGACAGAACAGCGGCAGAACAAGACGTCATATTTCAGTCTTGGGTATAAGCGTAGTTCAGTATGGCCGGCATGAAAAAGACTATAAAAGGCCATGGAATCTCCCAGATCCAAAGGCCCCTTCTGCACGGCAAGCTACGACAATCCCTCGACTTCAAAGAACAATAAAGACTAGACACAGGACGACAGTTGCAGAAGTTTCAAGAGAGCCACCAAAAAGAAAAAAAAAAAAAAACCACACCAAGAAACGTCTAGGTATGTATATCTATTCGTAAGGTAGAGAGGGCTGCGACTAACAAGAAAAAGCGACATGGACAGCAACATGACTAAGCCTTGCACAATCTGCGATGAAGACTTGAGCGTAATCAAAGGTCCCCATATGGCCCACCGATTTCTACAAGAAAACACCGAATCGGGGAAACAGTCAGATAAATTCAAGAAGTTGAAGATCGTGTTGACACTCGGCGCGCAGCCGCAACAGCCACTTGGCCCGCTCCACCTACTTGTATGTGCTTCTTGCGAGACTACAGCTGCTTGGAATGAGGAGATGATGTGGGGGCACTTGCTTCAATGCCCCTGCAAAGCCTGCAGAAAGCCATTGAAGCATCGTGGTCCGGAACCGTGCGGCTGCAAAAATGCGCCTCCCTCCAAGGGTCCTCCAAGCTCCCACGACTGTAAACACGTCCCTGGCCGATGTGAGGAGCCCTGTCACGTGAGTATGATCGAGGTGATTGAGGGAAAATATGAAGGACTTCTTGACCGGATACCGGCGTTGATGAATGCTTCGCTTGAAGCCCGGGTTGAAATGGCGGATGCTCTGGGGGGTATATTCGCATGAGTAGTTGGAGACGACATCGGGACGTGGATCCTCGACAACCGCAACGACCATGACGACGACCCATTCCATCGCGCGCGCCTCCAACAGACGACAAACACGCAAACAATCGAAGGGGCCATGTTGGGACAGGCCAGGGCTGGGCAGGGAAGAGACACGAAATTATACCAAAAAATCACTTTCTCCGACATGTTCACCATCTTGAGGGTTATATTATAAGCGCTTAGCCTTATATATAAATACCTTCATTTTTATATCCTCGCCTTCCTGTCTCTATTTGCGCTATAAAACACATGTGGACCCAGCCATGCTTTAATACTCGCCTTGCTATTGCCTCAGTGAATGTAGAGCAGCTCTAGACCAACAAACATCTTTGTGCTCAAACACAAGGCCACTGGCACACGTCCCGCACTCATCCTCCGACCCATCAGTTGCAAGACTTGATTGTAAAAGGCTGATAATGTGTGGCGGCTTTCTAAACACGAAAAGTCGGGGAAAATTGTAGAATCCATTTGATCGCGGCATCGTAGTTTATATAAGAAGCTGCCTTATGCCTACCGATCAAATTGACTAATCTTTTTTGGTTTCAAGAAATTTATTTACATCCTTTACTTACATCTTATTGATTGTTTTACGGGTCTCGTGTAAACTCCGCCACGTGGACGGATTACATATACCGTGTAATTATCTACCTAGCGGAAGATGAGCATTTCCGCTGAAATGAGATTGATCATTGCTACGCGTAGTTTCTATTGATCCATTCTATTCTATTAATTCATTCTAATTAGCTTGCTCCTTATTTAGAGCCTTTATCGCTATGAGAGCTCGAGTTACGATTGCGGCGTGGTGACTTGCGCGGGGAACATCGTGTACAGTCAGTTGTGTTGTTTGTGCGTTGCATTTGGGCCATCAAAATAACTACTTGCACGGCTATTTGGATTGCTCGGATACTCGAAATTCTTTCATGGCGTCCTTGCTGGGTTAACAAGTCTCACGCTCCAGCTTCAATGCATACGTGGCCGAGTGTCTCTGTTGGATAGAACACCTGTTGAACAAACAAACCTCACTCTTGGACTAAATTCACGCCTCGCTTAGGTCTCTGTTGAGAAGAAACATTTACAGAACAAGCGAACCCCACGCTATAGACTCAACGCATGCGTAGCTGGTGTCTCTGTCGGGTACGATACCTGCAGACCTGCTTGTGCGAAAAATGCGAAAAGCCTCTCACGGCAGAACCTTGCACGGACTGTGAATTCTTCGCGGAAAACTCTCGAGACAGAAGATGCAGTTGTTCTGGCTGGGGATTTGTTCCCTGTGAATCGAAAGTCCACCGTCAAGTCTTCGGTTATTCTTACGAAAGGGGGCACATACCTATCAAGGATATTATATACCACAAGGACTAGAACGAGATTTAAAGCGTGACAGATGAGCGCTGACTTAATAAATCTGTTCGCTGTGTGCTATGTATCAGAAGTAGTATGAGACATGTATCTAGTGTTCAATAAAAATATCTTCTCATTCTTTCTTCCCTAAAGTGTTTTGTGCCTTTGTCTATGCCATGTCCGTCACACGGTTAGGCCACAAGAAAGGCGTTGGGCCAACAACGGTTACACAGAAACAAAGAAGATGTCACGAGACCTACGTTGGGGCCTTGGGCTAGGGCAGCCTTAGGTCTCCAAAATCCCCGACTTCTTGTGTATATATGGTCCTTTGGTCTCTCAAGGTCCGACGGAAAACCAGGGACGTTTGATACCTGGGAGCAGATTAGGAAAGATTGAATTAAGGCACTACGTTCCAAGCGCAGTGTCCCTGCCCTTGTCGCAATGTCACATGCCCAACTCCCACAATACATAGTGTAGTAGTCATATTATTCAGAACAGTGGCAGAACAAGCCCCCTTGCGACAGAGCGAATGCACGCGTAGTTGTAGTACATCTGTCAGATAAAGAGCAGTGAAACCACAAGCCCACATGGTTCACACCAAGCATATGCTTCTAGTGGTTCAGTGTCTTTATCGGATAGAACAGCATGCCAGATGTCACTGCGTAGTGGGCTAGATACATGCGTAGCTTATTGCCTGAATTTGGTAAAACAGTGAAAGCACGAACCCTGGCAACTGAGACCAAACAAATGCCTCTGGTAGTTCAGTGCCGCCATTAGATCAAAAAAAACTTAAACAAGCCCTTGCGCTATAAGCTAGATACATGCGCAGCTCATTGTCCGTGTTGGGTGAGAACGGTGAAAGCACAAGCCCTCACTGCTCTGAAAAAATACACTAGCCTGAGAATTTATTGCATTTTCTGGATAGAATAGCAACGGAACAAGCTCTCACGCCTTCGGCTAGATGTGTGCGTAATTCAGTGCCTGTGCTGGATATAATAGTAGCAGAACACACAATCATCCCGTTAGATCGAGTACACGACTTGTTCAACGACATCATACAGTATATAAGGAGCTCTTATTCCCCCGAATCTCGGCTTTTTTCTCCCAACCTCGCAAGTCCCAAGCCCTCAACTTCCAAAAACCGACAAACACAACACCACTGGGTAAGACTCTTTTCTGTAAGAAAGGAGGACAAAATGCCAAAGCATATATCTCACTTACCCTACTATAAATTAAAGCATCCAATAATAAAAAGCAACGTAATAGGGGCGTGTTTTGCGGCTACTGTGGGAAGGACCTGAGAGAGAGTCGGCTAAGCCATGTGTGCAGCATATTTCCCACCCAGAAACCACCATCCACAGTCATTTTGCGAATATGCTCGAATTGCGGCAGCCGGTTTCTCAGAGAAGCCCAAATTTGGGCTCACGTGAAAATCTGCCCCTGCAAAGGTTGCGGAAGTTATCTTGCTCAGAATATCGAATACCGTTGCGAGTGTGGTGGCAACAAATCCGCGTGCGAAAAGTGCAAGGGTACCGGCGAAGCCAAATGTGAGGACGCATCTCACGCGAAAATTTGGGTTTATTCTTCTACAGGAATGGAAAACATGTACCACAAGACACGAGGCATAGAGAGTGAGGTGCAGGCTAATGCGCGTTGAAGCCAAGCTAAGGAGAGTAGAGCCGAGTTGGCCCCTGCCCTCGAGCTGCTTTTGCAACACACATTCGCCGTATTGCATCATTTGTCAGGGACATCGAAGTCGTTTCACCCTTGTACACTCATCCCCCCGGCCCTAGTTGTAGCCGTCATTCTCTCAAGCTTCTGCTTCTGCTGATTTGGAAATTCAAATCAAGCCACTCTTTGCTAGCCTTGCCATTGCCTCCTCGTGTGTCGTGAGCCGCAGACCAACAGTGAAAGCCAAGCAAACCCATCTCTTTGCCCCGGTACAAAACGAACAACCCACCCAATAGACCAGATGCCCAGCCTCCAGAAGTACACCCCAAGCCCAGCCACTACACTCCCTCTCGTCACCACCATCACAGCAGCAACTACTCCCTATACAAGCCCTCCTCGTCAATCCACCTCGCGACCTCGGCCCCAACCAAGCCCTCGACCCCCTCTCCCCTCTCCCCAGTCCTCACCAGCTCCCTCACCCTCGAGCTACTAACCGCCCCCCCCACCCCGTCCACCAACTCAATCCTCCTCGCCCACGCGCCGTCACCACCAATCTTGCCCAAAGTCCCCTCAAGACCACCCACATACGCGGCCTGCTCCTCAGCCGTCCCCCACGCATCATCCGGCCTCATCGTCACGCGCAGCCTCGCCCGCCGGAAAAACGGCCCCAACGCACTCCCCATCCCCGCACCACCCCCATAGTAGCGCGGCTCAAAGATGCGCACCACCGTGTCGAACCCGCACAGAAACACCTGCTCCGCGCCGCCGTACCTTCCCGTGCCATCAATCGCCGCCGCCTTGTCGTGGAAGTACGGCCTCGTAGTAACCGCCACGTCGGCCTGCAGCGGCGCCAGCTCGCGCACCAGCTCGCGCGCGAGCGCCTCCATCATGCCGAGGCGCACCTCCAGCGGCGCCGGGACGAGCGCGCCGAGGAGGCCATGGCCGCGTGCGCCCGGGTCGGCGGGTTGAAGCTCGAGTCCAGGACGACGAGGCTGTCCGGCGGCGGCGGCGGTGTTTCTGTGCGCGGGGGGACCGTGGACAGCACGCGGAAGGCGTCCCGGGACGCGGAGAAGGACCGGAGCGCGTTTGCGAACAGGGCGGCCGTCTGCTTGGTGGTCATTTGCGCGTCTGGCATGGCGGGCGGTCGGTCGTTGTTCGGGGCATGAGGTGAAGTCGGGTGAGGTGAGGTGCGGTGAGGTTGATGCCGGCCCCACTCTCGGAGAACTGACGTGTAATGTGCGACCGACTTGCCAGATGGGGACACATGCAGCCGGCCCCGGCCCATTTACCAAAACCGCGGAGCCGAGACGACTTTCACGGGTCGCCCAACGTCAACCTGGGAGCTCACATCAACCATGACATAAAAGAAAACGAGCAGAGCCTTGTAGACTCATACTCAGTCATTCCGAAATTTCAATTGATAAAGGCAGACCGCTACGAGTTGCTCAAACATTATCGTCGTTATTCTGTCCGTCCATCACCCCCCTGCCAAACCACCGGGCCACCGTCCCGAACCGATCTTCGCTGCCCTCCAGCTCAATCTTGAACAGCTCGTGCTTCTCTGCCGCCTTCCGCTGCTCCTCCCTCATCTTGCGAATGAGATCATTCCCCCCGGCGCACAGCGGACACTCCACCTCGTCGCCCTCACCACCACGGAGACACCGCTGGTGGAAGCTATGTTTGCACAGAAAATGGACAGCCGGTAAGTCCAGCCCCTGTCCACAGTCCGAGCACCGCGTTGCTTGGAAGACGGCCGGTTTCGAACCCAAATCTGCAATTTCTGCTCGCCGCTTTTCCGTGTCCACGCGCAACGTGTCGATTTGTCTGCGATTGTCTTGGATTTCTTTGCGCTCGCGCATAATCGTGTCGTGAAGATAGGGTTTGATCATGCCCATTGTTGCTACGCCGCCGGCCGATGATTGGCCAACCAGAGTTTGGACCACTTGTAGAGGGGCCATGAGCCCGTCTTTGTCAATTTTGGAGAGCACGTTGGCCAGCTCGTCCGGCCCCGCTTCTTCGAGGACTTTGGGGTCGGATGTGAGGTATGCGAGGGCTGCTGGGTATAATTGCGGTTCTTCGGGACCGTATTTTCTTAGAGCCTTGATGGCGCCGCGCGTGTCCTTGGCAGACGTGTACGATCGGAAAATGTCAAAAAGCAGCCCCGCTTGCTCTTTGACCAAGACAGTGCCGTCACGGAAATTGGACAAGTCTGACAGCAAGAGCACGTTGGAGCTTTCCATGGGTACGTGCTCTCCCTCAATCAGCTTCTTTGCCTTGGCCTCCCACTCCTCTCGATGGTGGCCCTTCTTCTCGCCGGCTTTATACAGATACATTTCAAACAAAGTGGTGTATAAATCTGTTCGATCCGAGACCTTCAAATCTCCCTCCTGGAGACATGCTTCGAGAAACGTGATAAACTCATCCGGGTGGTCGATGAATGAAGAAAATGCAGTTCGCGGTGCCGGTACTGTGTACTTTGGTGGAGGATGGTCGTCCTCGCCAAGTTCGAGGGTGCCATTGCTTGCCGGCTGCTTCGTGTTACTAGGCGTGTCCGGTGTTGCCGTTGGTCCCGAGGATGTGCCCATGTAGGGAAAGGGTAGATAATTGGTAAGGTTTTGCACTGCACTAGTTGCACCTGATGTGACGCCTCCAGTCGATGATGTTTCGCCAGGAATGGCAACCGCCGACTTTCTTGGTCGGTATTTCCCTGTATAGTAATCTATAAACAGCTTTGTCGCTTCTCTGGGACAGTTTTCGATGAGTACCCGAGCATACTTTTGCATACATGGATATGCCTACGAAACAAGTCAGTCACCACGTTGATAGTGTGTCCGGACGCAGACCTACCACTTCAGGATCTTGCCGCCAAATGTAGTCCAGCGCTTCACCGTAGCTCTTGGAATCCTCAATCAGAATATCGGCCACAAGCTCCGTCTCCCCATGCCGTTTGGCGAGATAGGCAGCCTGCTCATAGTATCCCCCCTGTCGGCACATGGCAATGGCCGTGTCCAGGTCGAATTTCAAGTCTCCCGGTGACTTGATAAACTTTTCTAGCTTGGCAATGTCCTTTAACTTTGCGTAGCAATTCAGGAGTAACGTTGTGTGGTCAGCCGTAGCTTTTCTATGCTCGTGTAATTGCTCAAGGTACTGGATGAGATTGTGTATTCGTTGGGTATCAAGAAACTGCCTTGTCAGCACATTTACGTCTTCTTTCGCGCTCAATTCAACGCGCAGGCAAAAAAAAAAAAAAAAAAAAAAAAAAACATACTTTGCGAATAACCTGCGATGGCTCCGTCGTATCAATGGCCCGAATATACTGCATCATGGCTCCGTCGTAATCAGCCTTCTGATATAAATGATCACCAAACTTGCGATGAATAATGCTCTGCTGCTGACTGTCCATTCCGGAGCCTTGTGCCAGCTCAATAGCAAGAGGGAACATGTTGCGTTGGTACAACATCTCCAATCGCTGCTGCAACGGCTTTTCATGATACCGATAAATCTGCAAAACATCAGCCACTGACACCGGATCATGCAGTGCGGTTCAGGCTCACCTTCCCCTCCTCCGTCATAGTATACAAGTCTCCCCAAACATCAAAGATGTACCTCACAGGGGACATGATCGTTTCAGAGTGCGCAATGACTCGCAGATCCGGTTCCAGCAGAACAAACATTGTGGCATTGAACAAGTCGTCGTTACCGCCGCCCCCGAATCGCCGTCGCATACTATCCGGATCCCGTCCATTGGGCCCCGTCGGCAAACACTTGAGCGCCACATAATTCTCATACATGGCAATCAAGGTCTTGGGGGCTTCATATGCCTTTGGCGGTCCTCGACCATCCAACGAATATGTGTAGATGGCATCATCCCTCGCCACCACCACATCGCCCGTCTCTTTATTCAACGTCATGCATCCCCACGCACAGCCGCTATCCTCCACAGTCTTGGGGGGAAAGCCCTGACCCTTCCTAGACAACCCTAGCTTGACTATTCTCGTAGTCGTGGAGATGAACAACGTCGTAAGCTTCTCATCTGTCGCAAGCTGCACACCGGTGACTGGTTCCTCAGACTCAAATACTATGCGCTGCTTCGTGCCAAGGTCATGGATAAGATCGCCCCGAATTACCGTCACGGCACCGTTACCAAAGCCGACAGCAATCTGGGACAGGTCGTCGGAGGCGGCAAAAGCAGAAATCGGAAACTGTCGTCGGCCGTTATTTATGATCAGGGTGCTCAGACAGGTTGGCATGTTGGTCTTTTTGACGAGCTTGTCCAGCGCCCAGGCTTTGAGAACGGGTTCACTGCTCAGGTCCTCGGCGACAGTGACGAGTAAGCTCGTCCCCTCGACTTGGCGCATGTGTGTGACTCGTCCGGCATCGTGGGCCTGGAATGTCCTAACTACTTTCCAGCTCTTGCCGATGATGCTGACGGATCCATCGCTGCCGCCGAGAAAGAGACTGTCGGATCCGGAGCAGATGCTGGATATTTCGTTGGCGTCGAACAGGCTACGGGTGTCGTCATCGGGGAGGGAGACTTGTGAGACTTCGAAGAAGTCGAAGGACTTCCACTGTAGGGTGTCAGCAGTCTTGGGCAGGGTGCGGGCAGCAGGTCTCGGGATTGGGGTGGATGGGGTAGCCTCTGCCACGGGAGAAGCAAAAGACACGTACCGAAATTGCCATGTCGACGCATCAGATGATTGAGTGCCGATAAGATGGAGAGGTGAGGTTGGCGGGTTGTCTTCACGACGACAATGGTGGGACAGCTCGCTCCGGGTAAGCTCTGCTGGCTGGGGCGACTTTCATTGCCCAGCCGTGACTTTGGAGGTAACAAGCACCGCCACACCTCCGGAGTGGCTGACCGAGGCAGTTATGTCACTACACGTCACTGCACAACGCCGCCAGTCAGTCAACATCAATACAATCAATTCTTTACGCTGGTATTTCTTATTGATGCGCCTTGTCTGCATTTCTGCCCGCTGCTAGTCGATTCCGACACAGACTAGCTGTGGTCCTGGGTATCTCTTATGCTACTCCTATCCGCCATTAACCATCCAGACAATTCCTAGTCCCAAGCTCCAAAACAAAGTGTACCAGCCCCAAAGCCAAATTTCCCACAAGCCAACACGCACAACGCCCAGTTATTCATTTATTAATGATAGCAACTACCCAGATTAGTCTTCCTTCGGTCCGGGAGCCGCCCCGTCGTCCTTGGGGTTTTGCTGCTCCGGCTCCTCCCTCGGACTGGCCAACGGGCTGGTCACACCTGCAATACTTCCGCTAATGCTATCCGGCCGCCCAAGACTCAAAGGGCCGCTCCGAACACTTGCTCCGTCGCCTTGCTTGGCAAGAATGCTGTTTCTCTCACAGGTGATGGCTGGAGCTACGCCAGTAGATGAGTAGATGCTGTTTCGCTCTGGACCCAGGCGTGAACTGCTCCCCGGAATTCCAGGGGTTGTCGGCATGCCTCCCTGGTCGATGTTGGCACTGAGAACGCTAAGTGGCAGACTCTCACGACTGCCTCCCCAGAGTGATGATGGGGCTAATGCGCGTACCGATGCGTCGGTGTCCATAGAACGGCGACGATGGCGCTTGCTAGACGAGGCCAGTGTCAAAATAGAGGCATTGTCGGTCAAGAGATTATTGGCAGTGGCAGTCGTATACGTGGTTGGGTTGCTAGTCGGTGCCAGATGCGACGGAATCGCCGACGCCGGGGACGTGGAGGGAAACGGCTGGCTGAATTGTATGGATTGCGTGTTGCTATGCGGGGGCGCCGCAACATAAGGTGTATTTCCGTTGGGAGCCACGGATTGAATCGTGGTCAGAGTCGTAGTCAAAGATCGTACCGAAGGAGCAGGGCTGGAAAAGGTGCTATCGCCTCCTCTTCGGCCGTCCATTCCACCACCAATGGTACGACTGGTTCCAGCTAGAGAACTAGCTCCTCCGTGGCTGGGAGCAAGAGATCGTGGAGCTTCATTTTCCGTAGAGACGGTGCCAGCCGTTGTGGGCGCAAGGCCAAGGCCGTCAACAGAGCCTCGTGCGGGCTGGTCAAGCGACGTAATACTTCCGGTTCGGGCGGTGGTAAAGGAGTAGGAGCTATCACCATTCGCGTCGGTGTGGTTCGCCCTGTTGACGGGGCCGTTGGGACCGTTGGGGTCGTTGGGCTGATTTTGGCTCACATGGCCGGACTGAGGATAAGGGTTGTTCAACTTATGTCCGCGCTTCATCTTCATGTGCCGCTTGGGGCGGTCGCCGTCGGAGGAGGACTTGAAATTGGTCAACTTCTTGACCCATGTTGAGAAGGGGCGCCGCCGGTGCGCCTGTCGGTCTGGAATTCATTAGATGCGTGTCTTGAGAGGTAGAGAAGGATGGACAGGGCTGGGCAACGGTCGTCTAGCGCGGCGGTAAGTTTGACGGTGCAAGGCTGAGGCTAGCTTACCGTGAGGTTCATTGACCATATCCGCCGCGGTCATGACAGCCAGGCAGGCAAACTCGTTGAAAGCGGGAGTCGTCGCGGTTGTCCAAGCTTCCGACGGCAGACAACAGACGGTCGGAGTTGGAGATGGATATATGCGGGAGGGGACGTTGAGGATCTCGAGGTCTGAGGAGCAGACCAGAGCCCAGCGACCAGACCCTTGCTCTGTCTGCTTGGCTGTGGGATCACGACGCAATCGCACGTGTTTGAGGCCAAGGCTGATGACGGCCCTTTTGCAACTGAAGCGAGGGCGACACGGGGCACTCTGCAAATAAGGGTGGCGCGGGGGAACTCGTCGTCTCAGGTGGGCGTACGCTTTAAACGAGAGCGTGTGATGGAGGACGGAGATGTCGGGGTGAAGTCGTGTGTTATTACGGATGATGGACGCAAACCTTGAACTCCATCCAAACGCACTTGCTTGGGCTTTGGATGCCGCTGGAAGTATCCAGGTACCTCGGGATGCAGTACTAGCAGTCAGTAGCACGGTGCGTCGACATGGCTGGGCCACTTCAATATTGGCGGCAGATACCGGCACTTGAGCACTATATATGGTCCCAGGCCCCATCGCTTACTGGCCCCGGGCGGTGCACCCGCTGTGGCAGCTACGCTTCAGCGCACCTTCCCCCTGTAGCAGGCATATCAGTTTCAATGCTGCCGTCGATTGATGGTTCCCAACAAGTTGCGCCACATGCATTTCAATTTTGACTTCAGCATCCTTGATTTCAGGAGCACCTGAACCTTGGGTTATTTCGTCATGGCGGGTCGGAAACAAGCCCTTCGCGCTGCTAGGCGTCAACGGGTCATCGGGTCCCGAGACGACGCCTCAACGTCGAATGCTGCAAGAACAAGCTTGGAACTGCGTGCAGATTGAGGTCCGTGGGCTTTTTTACCGGGGTGCCAAAAGAATAATCACGACGACACTGCACCCTTCCTTCCCTGAGGAACTGACACATTCCTCGCCTGGACGGCTGATTTTATCCTCCTAGTGCTGCCTTACACGAACCTCCCAGTCTGCTGGGCTCGAAAATGAAGTACAAGGTACAATCCACCCAGGTACCAAGGTATTCCGTTACTCTAGATTGAGTAGGGCGTCAACGGTTGGGCCGGGTACTCCGTACATCTGCCACATCTGCCCCATCTGCCCCCACCATAGCTCAGCTTCAGCTGCTTCCTCAGCCAGCCTCCAAATGTCCACTTGCTTCAACCTCAACCACACACAGCTCTCACCTCTCAACTCTCGCGCCAACATGGGACGTGCGTATCATGTCCATCCGCCCCCTCCCCAAGGATGTCGTTGACAGAATCAAATCTTCCTCGGCAATCACCTCCCTAAATCAAGTTGTGTGCGGTCTGCTCACCAACTCCCTGGACGCATGCTCCACCAAGGTCAACATCAGCCTCGACTATGTCTTGGGCAACTGTACTGTCCAAGACAACGGTTTTGGTATAGAACCGAGTGAATTTGAACAAGACGGCGGCCTGTGTAAACTACACCGTGCGATGCTACCCGGTGTTCATATGTTGCAACATGCAAGATGTGGGCTAACACTCACTAGACACATCAAAGACTCCGCCGAATCCAAACACCCACGGCAGTCACGGCAGCTTTATTGCCTCCGTCGCCACCTTGTCGCTCCTGACAGCTACGTCGCATCATCGACACCACGCATCTCAAGCATCTCTCTCCGTTCACAATGGCAAGGTGCTTGCTCGCCATGTTCCAGCCCTGCCAGACCAGCGGTTCGAACTATTCAGCCATGGAACCCGCATCAGCATTCGCAATCTATTTGGGTCAATGCCCGTCAGGGTAAAGCAGCGAGGACTTTTATTCTCTGACCGTGTTCGTCTCGACAGGGAATGGGAATCTCTGATGCGAGATGTTGCCGGGCTGCTGCTGCCGTGGCCAACCGAAGTGTCCATCTTCCTGAGGGAAGCAAATACACAACGGGAACAGCGCTTGAGATCGGGCAACAACGAGTTCGCATCGCGAATTTCACGGATATTCACACAGTCAGGCCTGGCCGGTAGCGAAGACGCTGGCTCGTGGGTACCCGTATCGGCGTCATGTCGTCGTGTCCGCATCAAGGGAGCCATCTCAACAAACCCTGTCGCAACCCGTCGGTCGCAGATAATGAGCCTCGGCATTCAACCGATACCCAACAGCTTTGGCACCAATGTACTTTACGAAGAGGTCAACAAGCTTTTCCAGGGTTCCAACTTTGGTGTGGTTGACGCTGATGAGCAGATTGGTGGTGTCCAGGGGAAGCCTAGAAAAGGCATTGAACGGTGGCCAATGTTCTATCTAGAGATACACCTGCTCGGAAACGATGAAGACTTGGCTATGGACGATGTCCTCGGGGACTCAAAACACAGTCTGCAGGCCATAATTGACCTCCTCAAAGTTGTCTGTTACGGGTTTCTGAAGAAGCATTTCCTGCAGCCCAAGCAAATCCAACGAATCGCTGAGGTGCCAGCCACTGTAAGGACCAGGCAGTCTATATCCGAAGGCCAAAAGTCTTCCCCGCTACCCTCTGCTGCAATCACAGAGCCGGAACTCCGACGACCATGCAGCCCATTCGAGGCATGGAATCGTCTCAAAATCGGGCGGGCTGTCGCTGAATACAAGGTCGCCCACCAATCCATTGAGAGTCTCGCTACACCCGCTAAGCCTACAACTCGCCGTCTTGTAGGTGATAATGGTGTACTTTTGCAAAGGCCACTTGACGATGTTGCTGATATCGAACCATCTGTTCGGAGCCAACATACGAACGAGCCTGAGGTCCTCTCGAGGGCAACCACAGGAAAGAACAACACAAAGAGCCTTGAAGCGGACACCAAGGCTTGTCCATCGTCCCAAAAGACAAGATTGACAAGGCAAATTGAACAGATTCCGGAAGGCGGCCCGAAAGCTCAACCCCAGGAATGGCTGCAGAACATCATGCGTTCATGGAAGAACCCCGTTTTTGAATTAACGGAGCCTCGAATACCATCCCTTGACCAGGCCGTTCCCGTAGAGCGGCCAGTCAATGCAAACTATGACGGGCCATGCAGCAAATTCTACTCCCAAGAATATAATGTACAGTTCGAATCAGCTGCAATGGCCCTGAATGGACGGCTGTCCCGAACTTCATTAGCTAAAGCTGAGGTCATTGGCCAAGTTGACAAAAAGTTCCTTCTTCTTCGGCTATCTCTGCATACACCAAACGTGGCCCAAGGTACAGAAGCATCATCGACACTCATCATGCTGGATCAACACGCGGCGGATGAGAGGTGTCGCCTAGAGGAGCTGATGTCTCAGTATTTTCAGCTAAACCCATTGCGAGCCGTGACAGAGCTTTTGGAGAAGCCAATCGTATTTGAGGTCTCAGCCAGAGAATACGAGCTTTTGTGTCGATTTCATAGCCACTTTCGTACATGGGGTATCATGTATGTCGTAGGCAAGACGAGCAGCACGAACGAGCACCAGATTGAGATCAAGTCTCTTCCGCCAAGCATTCTAGAGCGGTGTCGGACCGAACCAAAGCTCTTGATTGACCTCGTACGCAAAGAAACCTGGAAACTTGAGGATAGAACTATACCATCTCAGCCGGTCTATGAGCGGGGCAACCCGTGGGTTTCCAGTTTCCACAACTGTCCCCAAGGTATACTGGAGCTGCTGCACTCCAGATCTTGTCGAAGTAGGGTGAACACAAACAGCATACATACTATTCGTGCAGCCCACTAACAACTTGCAGGTGCCATAATGTTTAATGATGAGCTCAGCATGGACGAATGCAAGCAAGTGGTCCAACGTCTGTCGCAATGCGCCTTTCCATTCCAGTGTGCGCACGGGCGTCCCAGCTTGGTACCGCTGGTTGATATCGGATTAGGTGGTAGGGTGGGAGGCTGGGATGCGTCAAATTTGAGTGTTGACCGGTGGAAGAATTGGCTTGTAGAGTCGTCATGAGGCGTCGAATAGCATCTTCCCAATAGAGCGAGTCGAGTCTTGCCTCTCTACGTGTACCTAGTGAATATACGGTAATATCAAGTAAATCATGCTGCCCAAGATGTGAAATTATCTGTTCATCATGTAATATCGGCCAAAGGGAACCTCGTGGCTAGAACACGAAGCTCGTTGGATGGCTTGGGCCGGCATAGTGCAGCATCGTGCACCGGTTTAATACTACGTCTGACAAGAACAGACACCTGCGCCAATGAACAACTCCCCGAAGCGAAAGGGGATCAAGAAAATGAATGAGATGGGAACAAAAAAAAATTCACTTTGTGTTTTATTTGCGCTGAGAGATGGCAAAAATGAAAAGTGGCTCTCCCGCCGGGAATTGAACCCGGGTCTCAAGCGTGACAAGCTTGCATACTGACCACTATACTACGGAAGACTCGAACGGCTGTGAGCAGCCATCGTAGTAGTTGTTGTGGTGAGTGCGTGCTATTGTGGTATATGAGCCAAGCTGGATTGGACAGCCAATTTTCGACAATTCGGCAAGTATACAACACGAGGCAGCCATCGACACGTCCAGACCATCAACGACCTCACCCGGGTACGACTATTTGGGCCCATTTCCGCGCTGACGGCAGGCGCTGTGCTGCAGTCCCGTCCATGCGGCTCCCATTACCGAACTGCCAGTTGAGTCGGTTCTGTGACTCCGTTGCACAGGGCGGCTTTAGAGTTATAGTAGCCATGACTTGATCATTTGCGGGCTCGCAGTTGCGAAATCCCATGGCCATGTGAGCAAGAGGCGCACGACTCCCCATATATTATGTTTTGCGTTGCTTACTCGGACCACTGGCACATGTCGCATCTTACTATGAGAAACCTACGTCCCATCTTGTGGCTGAACGACAAGAATGAGCAGCCAGAATTCCCGTTCCAGGCCGGATGCGCTGCCGTCAATTCACCGCGCCGACCTGCTCGCCCTCGCTGGCTGTTTGCCGTCAACATCGCCAACATCTCGCGCGGTTTACGAACGTGCTCCTGCCAAAGTTGCCGCAGACCTCGAAACCCCTTGTGCAAAACCTTTCAGATATAGACAGCCGCCATGGAGAGCGTGGGAGCCGTGGAGGCCATTCTCGCGAGCGCGGCGACGACAATCGCCCTCGTGCACAACGGCATAGCCACCAACAAGCTCGGCCGGGCCAGGACGAAGAACCTCATGGGCCAGGTCGCGGATCGCGCCCCCGTCGACGGCCGCCTCATCGACCAGGCCAGGAAGGACCGGCGGACCGAGCAGTATGCGTACTACCTACTCAGCGAGTATGCCCGGCTGCTGGAGTGGCTCGCGGACCAGCACTTCAGCGTGCCGGCCGCCTCGGTCAAATGGTACGACCCGCGGCACGTCGTCGTCAGCCCGTACCGCGTGCCCTTTTGCTTTGCGTACAAGCGGTCCCGCGAGCTCAGGGAGCTGGTGGACAGCACCAAGGAGCTGGCCGGCAAGCTGGTTGCGGAGAATGTGAGTGAACAAACTCCCCTCAGTGTCTCACGTCTGACATTGTGCGTCAACCGCAGATCCAAGCGGCTGTGCAGGCGTTGCCCACTCCGCTGTCGGGCGGCCCGCTGCTGAAAGAAGGTTGGTCGACCTCTTTGAGGAACTGAGCTCTTGCTGATTGATTTCTCAGATTTCACTGCGCTGGAGCGCCGGACAGAGGCAGCGAGGCTGAGGGTCAAGAATGGTACTTGATGGGGAGTCGGGACAAGCTTGATGTTGTTTTTTATTTTTGCCGCCCTGCGTTGCTCGCTAGACTGTCCATGAGGGCTTGCTATATGTTGTTAGAGTTTTGTACAATTTACACGCGCAACCTAGTGTAGTTGAGAAACAATCAACTCGTTGAACATGCAAGATGACGCCTTCGATAGACCCTGATAGTCTTATCATGACCAGCAAGCTCCAAACCTCGTCGGTGCTGGTTCCATGGCCGGCACAAGGCTGTGACGTCTCCAAACAAGCCCCCCTCTGATCCGTCACAATACCACCTCATCACGACTTCAAAGCCCTCTCCTCCCAAGCCCGACCCCAGTCGCAAGCACTTCCGCCGGTCCTGGATTCACGACTAACCGCCAGCCCTCCCACGCGTCCCCGTAGTGCGAAAACACCACAACAATGCGCGAGGCTGCGAAGCCGCCGGCCAAGACCGAGATACGTCATTCTATTCATACGGGGGTGGATGTGTGGCGATAAGCGATGTTTGTTGGTTCGAGATTGCGGGGGATGGACGTTGTGCGACGTCGGACAATCTAGATTTGAGTCGGACCAGATTCGATTGGCTACACCAAATGGCCCTACCGTTGCATACATGCCCTCACATAGCAGTCGCGTCACCAGCGCAGCCAGACATAGATTGACAGGTCACAGTTGCCGGGTATCGACGTAATACACGGCCCTCCGAAGCATACTATTGACACAGGCACGCCGTCAACAATGCCAATTGATACAAAGCCGAAAAAAAAAACGGCCCTCGCTCATGCCATCCCTCTCTGCCTTTATATAAGAAGCGAAAAAAAAAAAAAACCCTTTCATTATCGCGCAAATACCTTGACTACTCCGTCGCCGCCACCGCTGACCACCCATCGTCCGTCCTGACTCCAAACGCATGAGCAAATGCCCTCCCCGCGCATCACCCTGTGACTCGTAATCTCTTGTGTACATGATCTCTTCTCCAGACTCCAGAACCGCAATGACGCGTCGTGGCCGGCGCTCACGAGTTCGCGGCCGTCGGGGCTCAGTGACAGGCTGGAGATGGCGTCGGGATGAGCCAGCATATTGTACGTACATTGGCCTAGGGCAAGAGTTAGTAGAGCTGCCATGCATCTTGGCGGAAGGCAAAGCCGCATAGCGTATACGTACCGCTGTTGGCATCGAAGAAGCGCACAAATCGATCTTCGTGCCCCGAAATAATCGTGCCCTCCACGCCGGAGCCCGACATAGACCGCCCGCCCGTCGGCCCCCCGGCCGCATTCTCCTCCTCGCCACCCAGACTGCTGCCATGGTGCTGGTTGCCTTGGTCTAGGCCAATCGTCGTGGCCACAATGGCGTTGACGCCCGTCTTGACTGACCCGTCGTACGTTTCCATACTGTCCATCGACCCAACCTGCTCGCCAGATTTGGTATCGTAGACAATGACGGCTGCGTCCGAGTAAGACACGACAAATGTTTCGCCCGAGGTCCCCAGCGGCGCGATGCACGTAGGGCTGCCCTTGGAGCCATCCCCCCGCAAGACCACGTGCACCAGTGTGTAGTGGAATGGGGAGTTGGATGCGACACTGGCCTGGGGCGAGTTCGAGAAGCCACTGCCAGAACTCATCGAGTTGCCGCGGACTCTGCCACCGCGGCCAGTCATGCCCCGATTCGAGCCTGGCTGCGGCGAGCTTAGCTGTGGTGGAGCGCTCACTGACCAGATACGGACCGATCCGTCTGCGGCTCCAGAAACGAGTAGTATGCGGTCTGCGTTCCCGTAGGGACTTGATGTACCGAATATTGCACCCAATGTGGTGGGCAAGACGCACAGAGCCCACACGGCATCCGTGTGACCCTCAAGAGTTGCCTTGGGATCGACTCGCCCACGCTCCCACACACGAATAGTGGCATCTTGGCCGCCAGAAAAGATCCATCCATCACCTTGCGCGCGACCACCAGTAGAAAAGTTGGGAGCAGGCGACCACGACGTTAGACACAAAACCGAGCCGGAGTGGCCACGGTGTGTGAAATTCGCAATGACATCCAAATCAGAAGCAGCCCCGGCAAATGAGCCTGGATGGTCGAGCCTGGGAATGTGGAACCGTTTAATCATGCCGTCGTCGCCAGCCGTACAAATCTCAGGCTCTCCTGGGCTGCCACCACCAGAGAAGATGACTGTGCGGACGGTATCTAGATGACCCCGTAGTCCAAAGCGTAACTTAAAGTTGCCACTGTCCGACCTTTGGCTAGATCCCAGTCCCAACTCATGCTCGCCGCTACGTCTTCTCGACATTGAGCCTTTTCTCCGATGTCCACCGCTTGGCACTCTGTTGGGCGACTTGGGCAGGTACTCGGCGTTGGGAAACACGTCGGTGTCGGGACGGTTCGTTGCAGACTGGGCACTCTGTGGAACAGCCCCAGGTTCTGGAAAGGTACCTTCTGGAAAGTCCCAGCCATCGGGATCAGCATTTGGCGGAACCTTGTCTCTCGACTCCGTCGTATCCTGAATACCACCCAGCGCCTCGGCAGCGTGGTTGAGACCTGGCATATTTTCCTCGACGGGACGGGTCGTCACGGATACAGGGGCAGACCAATCGCTGGGCGTCCCGTACATGGCCTGCTGATTATCGCCGGCAGATCGAAGCATCGGCTGTGGCTGTAGCTCCTGCTTCGGAGCAAAGTTGGCAGAGGGCTGCTGCATTTGAGGCCCAGCATTCTGGGGAGGCTGCTGTCTCGCATTCATCACGTTGAAGTCCTGGACGTGGTTCGCATTCTGTCGTTGCATGTGGTACTGTCGATCCATGTGTTGGGGTGGTGGCATCCCAAATTGTTCAACTTCGCGCAAGTCCTCAATCATCGGAAGCGGTGGTGAGTCGCGGGGCGGTTGGGGATTGGCGGGCGTAATCATCAAGTACATAAATTCAGATTGGCATTGATCAAGGAACGTCTTCAGCTCGTTTCTTTGCGTATCATCATCGGGCTTCTCGACCTCGATGCCCTCGACGCCTGGTACGTTGTATTTATCCGACGAAGCTACATGTTGGGTTAGCCGCATTCGTCATATCGGCACTTCAGACGGCGGAGTGCGACTCACTTCGAAGCTTTTCCTGAATTTTGGCAGCACGGTCATTCTTTGCCGCCTCAGCAGCTTCCGTAGCCGCAGTGCCCTTCAGCTGTGCCGCCTGGTCCTTGACCTTTCGTTCAAGAATCGTGACGTATTTCTTGAGGGCCTTCTGAGTGGCATCTGCTCTCCGCGCCTGGCCCTCGAGATGAGCTATCCTCCCTCGCATCTCCTGTTTCTCGATTTCCCAGGCGTTTCTGTCTCGCTCATGTCGATGCCATTCGGTCTGCAAGAACCGCATAACGCCCTGCAGAGTATACTCGGTCGCCTGAGGTTGATTTGGCCCGTTTGGATGCATACCTATACCCATACCCATACCCATCTCCATGCCGCCCACGCCGTTGCCCACGGTCGGGCCCATCATGGCGCGCCTCGATTAAATAGGCGGGCTCATTGAGAGCCTACGCCAGTCGAGAGGTTGGTTCGCAGGCTCTGCCGTATGCTGGCAGCAATGAGGCGTCGGCGGTTGCGCGTGCGTAGAAGATGGCTCAGGAGGTCTTGAGGGTTACGGTAGTGGCGCGCTTTGAGGCTGGGAATCGATGAGGTTTATCGAACCGGTCAACTTGCTTGCTAGTGTAACTAGTACCTTGAGCTCCCGATGTTGCTGTTCCTTGCTGGGATGCGGGTGCTCCTGCTAGCCAATTAGAGGGCGTCGTTTGCGTGAGGCCGTAAGGCATCAATCCGCCCCCTGACCAACTGCACCAGTTCCGAGGATTTGCACCGGCAGTGGGGGTGTCCTCCGTACCGACTTCAAGGGTACGGAGTACACGAAGAGCTCGTCATTGTGTAAATTCCCAATTTGCTGCAAATACGTGCATATGCACCATGTATTGGTCCCTTCTCGACGTTTGCTGACAACTACAACGGACACTGCGCACGCAAGGCTGGGACCCAACCGTGTACCTGGAGATATGTGGATGCACGGATGTCAACGAACATACGGTTACTCCATGGCTCAAGTACCAGAGATGCCTAGATCCATATTGAACTTTTGCCCATTTGCGCAAGTGCCGAAATTGCTTTTGGTAGTTGTCTGCAGCTCACTTCCATCTCGTTCAGCTCCGACAAGATACACACCAAAGGGGAAATACGCATGGCCACATTTAGCATGCGAATCTGCGCTTTTGGACGTGCAAAACTAGGGCAATGTAGTCCATGATAGACGAATGGAACATGATCGGCAGTGGGTATTGCAGTTCTTTGGGTGCAGGTTCTCTCTCAACGGCGAGGTTCGAGATGACGATATCATACCATTTTCTGAGCATGTTGGTATTCGACTTCATATTTAAAAAGTTCCTATTTGAAATACGCGCAAACACGCTGAAAACTCCAATGCCATGGGTATCAATCCATCTATACACTTGAACCAACTCCATGCACCTCGAATTCATTACAATTCCAGCTCTTCAACTTCCATGCCGCAATCAACACATGTCTTTATCGTCATACCCTCTTCATTTTCTACAGTGCGGCCCCATTGATGGACATGCTTCGTGTCTCGTATGGAATCTCCAAATTTGTTTGCGCCCGACTTGCCCAGCGTACCAGCCTGTCGTCGGAAGGCATCTGTTCGAGTCTTGCGCTTCAAATCCACCAGTTTTTCTTTAAACTTGGCCTCTTTCCGCGCCTTCTTTTGTGCTTCTCGTCTCTCATACTCTGCATCCAGCTTTTCTGCAGATCCCCATTTCGTGTTGACCGCATACTCCTCAACTTGGAATCGCAGGAACAGCATCATGTCATGCCAATGAGACTTATGCGGGTTTGGCTTCGAAAGATGGGGTAAAAGCTCCGGATCTCGGAGTTCAGCTGTGACGTGTCAGTAAGAAAGAGAATATGCCCCCAAAAAAGAAAAAAAAAAAAGAGAGAGAGAGAGAGAGAAAGAAAACTCACGGTCTGTTAATAAATAATCTTCCTTACACTCCGTCTTGGTCAGGAGTGAGTACTTCTCGGGGTACTTTTCCTTACACTTGTTGCAAACGCAAATATGAAAGACCTCTTCCCAGACAAAATCAATCTCCAGGCTCTTGCACTCTCTACACTTCTTTCTCTTCTCTTCATCGTTTAAAACACTGATTCCGGGCTCAAATGGGCCCGTCTTTTGTCGTTGAAGCTTCCGGATAAGTTGCATGCGCTCCCACTCCTGCACAGTCATGTCCTTTGGTCGTTGCTCATCTTCCTGGCCCGGTTTTTTTGTGCCCAAGGCGTAGTTATGAGGGTCATCTTCTGTGGTCAGAAAACCACCCTTTGTATCCGTCATGGAGCTCATATTGTAATCGACAAACTTGGTAAACTTGCGGGCTGGGCGCAAAGCCTCTTCATCGCCTTTGTTACGGCCATCGCGGTTGGTGCCCGACTCGATCGCAGACGAAGCGTGCGTAGATATTTCGCTATGCAAGCGCTTGCCATTTACTGGCTTGGATACGTGAACATTTTCAGTGGGAACAAATCCGGCCGCAGACTTGGGGATGCTCGGAGTCTTGCCAGCAGCACGTTGCTCGGCTTCGCGTTGGTCTCGAATGGCTTTAGCACGTAATCGGTTCTCTTCCTTGAAGATATCAGTACATTTGAGCGATAAAAGAAGACCACAAGACCTCGAAATGGCGATGAAATGACGCACGATTCGTCTGATAACTTCGGGCGTCGGTGGCGATGCGACAGGTGCAGTTATGGACGGAGGTGGTGTTGTTCCTCGCTCCATTGAAGCTGGAGTTGACGCGGCGGCACGTAGTCAGATACGGAGTGTTCAGGACGTTGGTTATCGTTGCAGAAGATACGATTGTGTTGAAGTGGTGAGACGTTTCACGGTGATATGGGAAGTGGAGGGGCCAGCTGTGGGGGAAGGCCGGATGCCTGATGTCACTCCATGTCACTCGCACCTTCCTGACTCTGACTCAAGAGCGCGGCGCAAAACGTGACTTGCCATCAAGAGATGCACCAGAAATGCGCCATCGCCCGTCTAAGAAATTGAGCCACTTGTCATGTCCGCATTTCATTTTCGAAGCTATGTAGTCTTCATCATTTGCTCCATCTTCTCATTCACCGTCAAATGAAATATGAGCCGCGAGTCGAGATCACAAAATCGACCAGCTGGGAGCGACCAAGCAGCTCTGAGATGAAGTCTGCATTCACGAAACATAACGTGGCAAATGCGAAACAACGTTCGTATTGAGAATGGCATCGTTGAAAGGCAGGACTCTTTGCAGCATAAGCAAAGGCACCTGCAAAGTACTTTCTGACAATTCGTTGAAACTGGCCAGCAACTAACTGACAGACTAGCTCACTCACCTTCATGGTGGCCAGCTTCAAGTTTGAATTCAGTAAAACTGAGGCTGTATGCCCTTGTCTGGACGTCGGCACTAGTCGCCACTTACTTTCAACTTGGCAATGACACACGGCCAAAGCCGTGCGATCCCACCTGCAATATCGGCGTTTTTTGCGGCGCTTTGATGATCCCCCCAGGGTTGATAGAGATGAAGTGGATGAACGGTTCAAAGTTGGTCGTAACAGATTCAGCCGCTCCTTTCCTGCGTATTCATGATGTCAACATGCTGAAAACCGCGACTTTTCTTCTCCATTCCTAACTCCATTCAAACGACCATATTGATTCTCCGTCCAATCTGATCTTTACCCACGCATCGTTTCCAGCTTCTCACGTTCAATCCAGCACCACAAGATGCCAACTATAAAGAAGCGAGGTGTTTGGGCTGCTGGCGGCAGCAATAGTCACCGTTCGTGCTGCGGATATATCGGAGGTCATGTCTTGCTACGGCCACGACGGATCCGCCTGGGCGAAGAACACTCGATGCCCTGGATCTGATGCATGCTGCGGCATCGATGCCACATGTCTATCGCCTGTGTCACACGCCTGACGACGGACCTGGTACTTTCATCAGAGGGCCTTGTGCAGTCAAACCTTGGGACAAGGGCCTATGTCCCCAGATTTGCGAATACGGTACGCCTGGCGAATTATACCAATCGACACAGCTACACTGTCTCAACGCCCCTAGCCTTGTGGTACAACTTTGAGAATGAAGCCATCTTTTCCAACCTTGACATGCGCGGCTAACGGCGTGGACGCAAAAAGACGAGGCCAAGACTGACCAATCCGCCAGGCGATTTCCCTGAGTTGCGGTCTGTAGCGGCGGCTCATTGTGCTGCGATAAAGATGGCAACGCGTGCTGCGGCCAGAAAAAGGGCGTATTTCTGGACAAAAACGGCAATATCGCCAAAGGTCCTGCAACAACAACTCTCTCATGGGGCCCAGAACGCACACCATCCGGATACCAGACCATCGCGACGACTGCGAGCTCGGCGTCTCAGACGCCAACGACAACAATGCCGTCAAAATCGGCGCAGGACTCGGCGTCCCCCTCGGTGTTATTGCCATCGGGGCCATCGCAGCACTACCCTTCATGAGACGCGGAAAGCGAGCGGGAGCCAGCACCAATCATCAGGAGCTCGCTAACAAGGGCGGACAAGAAAAGGCCCAGGACAACCTGGCTGCCGGCCCAACCGCAGGAACTAGACGGCCACGAGAGCGAAATACACCGGTTTGAACTCGCAGCATAACAGTCCGGGAGAGCTATTCGATTGCTTTTCACAGAATCACATGGCACGTCGGCCAGCAGCGTTTGGCGTATATGACAGGCCTAGAAAAGGAAATAAAACAGTAGATTTCTGCCCATTCGACGTGCTGAAACGCGGGCTGACATGCATGCATGCCGCGCGTACAGCCACATGGGAACATGGCGAGGGCTGCGTATACCTCTCAAAAAGGCACTATTTGCCGGGCAGACGCAAACAGACGCCTGGTACTACACAGTGAGCCCAGCACATGTGTCATGGTAGGGATAAACAAGTACACGTCAGATGTGACTTTCGCAGAATGTACATGCCTTGTCTCGCTCAACTGCCCAGGGGCGTGAGAAAACAACCCAAGTTCCACGAGTAGGACGTGCGTTATGCCCCCAAAATTGGCTGTTCCAATTCTGCGATTAGTAAACCAACCAAATCGCGGGTAGCACGGTGCGAACGGCCTCTTTGAAAGTGGTCCAATGCCAGCTGTGAGCTTGGTCGTGGGACGTAGTTGCACTTTAGGACGTCAACCGGTTGGCTTACACAGGCCCGGAGTCATATACGCCGTGTATATCGTAGTTGCAGTCGATACGCCTCGGCCAGAGCCGGCGTTACCAGGCGCTTTTAGTCCCGAGAGATACAGTACTCGTCGGGAGGCGCGTCGGGAGGCGGATAGTCGCAGCATGAGAACGTCACGCAGAGAACCGGCAACGCCCACGACACATTGGCGACTTCTATCCACGCCCGAGGAAGCTTCTAGACTCGGGGCACCAAACATGCGGCCGGTCCTACTCCGCGGCGTCAAAGAGTTCCGCCAAATCGTCACCAGACCCAAACGGAAACAAACGGCCCCCGCGTGCAAGTCATATGAAACACCTGGATCATTTTGGAATAAGCTGGCGATCAAGGACACACATTGCAGGTCATGGCGCCGGCTGGGTAACAACTCCATCAAACACCGTCATCATATAGCAGCAACCACTAATACGTGCATGTGCGTCTCGTCACCACGCGACAGTGGAACCACATGCCCCCGTCGGCATATTGGTAAGCAACCCGGTACTTTATACCAGCAACGTGTGCATGTTGTAGACACCCGTCATATACGCACCTCACCGCCTCGATGGGGAAAATCTCGAGCCGAGGAGCCGCGAATTCGCCAAAGGAAGCCAATTACATTACATGGTACAGACATCTAATCAATCCAACAAGCCTGATGGCGTCATGGCCTTCGACCCATGTGTTCTTTTCATCCCAAGGATTCTGCTTCTACCAGAAGCATCAGAAAGCCTCCCCCCCTTGCCCCCAGCATCGTCTGTGCAGTTGCCACGTGTTGACTAGCCATGACCCCTTTTCCCTCTCTACTCTTCCTTGGCGCCGCCGCGGCCCGCCTTCTCGGCAGCCTCGACAGCCTTCTTGTCGCTCTGGGCCTGGCCCTGCTGCATGGCACTCATGAAGCCGGCGGCCTGCTTGAAGGGGCGCTTGAGGTCGCCGCTGGCGGGCTGGCCGTAGATGTGGATCTTGACGAGGTTGCTCTCGAGGGCGCTCTTGACAGGCAGGATGCTCTGGATGAGGAGGGGGTTGGTGTACTTCATGTACAGGTGCATAAAGGCCATGATGGCGATGCCCATCATCTGCCCGCGGAAGAGGGCGCGGAGCTGGTCCTTGTCGTAGGCCTGGATCGTGGTCGTGACGAGCTTGCCTTCTTCGGTGGAGCCCATTGGCGGGGGCTCGACGTACTTGAGCGTGGTCAAGTCTAGTGTATACGGTGTTAGTTTTTCCTTCTGGCGCCGACCAAGGTGCGAGCACGTATTGGTGTTCTAGTTGACAAGTTCTGCAAAACTAGCCCGAGACACGAGAGCCAAAAAAAAAAAAAAAAAAACATTAAAAAAATTAAAAAAAAAAAAAATTGGGCGGCCATACCCTTCTTCTTGTTGATCTGCGATCCAATGTACAGGTACAGCAGCGCAATGAGGACATTGCTGCCCAGGTAGACGGCGCGAACGGTGTTGAGGACGTTGGGGTCGTCAAAGGGAATGCGCTTCGACACCTGCATCATGCCCAACATGATGACGAGGTTGGTGCTGTCCAGGACGGGATATTAGCATACATTGTCACCCGGTACAAATTCGATGCAGATGTCCTCTGCGCCGGCACACATGAAGCCACGCGACTGGTGATATTCCCCGATAGAGGGCCGTCGGACACATGTCCACGTGCAGAGGAACCAGAGATTCACCCACTCACATCTGGGGGTTGAGGCCGGCCATTGTGAAGTCGATAGGTGGGACAGACAGGCGACAAAGAGAAGGATGAAGTCGACAGTTGGCAACAATGTCAACAAAGAGAGTAACAATGCAAAACGTGCAACTCCAAACCCGAGGACGTGGTCGCAAGGCTCCAAGGAAGTGACGAGGAGAGTAATGGCTGGTCAGGGTCAAATGTTTTCCAGATGGTTCGCTCAACCTGGCCTTTTTGCCTCAAATGGGTGGCGGAGGCGTGGCTGACGTGCTCTGGTTGGTTGCAGAGCTCCAGGGCATTAGGGGACTCTCAGCCTCAGCCACAGTATACCCTTCCGTTGGAAACTTTTTCCGGATCCGATTTGACGATTGACTACTCCGTACTGAGTACATTTTCGGCTCGGCTTGATGCTACATCACATCAGCTCATTAGTCATGGCCAGTCTCTCCGCAAGCCATGGTAAATGGCGAGCTGAATCCGTCACTCTACGGTATGGTGCTGAGGTACATTGTCTATATTCCTTGGAGCTAAGAGGAAGTGTTCCCCATCCTCAGTTCCCAAACAGAACTATCAACTCCAGGCTGAGCAAGCAGGACACGCAGTTGGAGAGACGACTTGCAAGAAAAGTGTGGAAATCCACGTCCTGCAGTTCACCCACTGCCACCAAAAAAACCTGTTCATTCAGCATATGCCATGTTCCCGCTCGTTTTGCCGATGACCGAGAGCCACAGACAATGCCAAAAGTCGACTCCCAGATCTGGTATCAAGCATCATCTATGGAGAATGACGGCGATATATCTCCAATTAAAAAAAAAAAAAATTGGGCGGCCATACCCTTCTTCTTGTTGATCTGCGATCCAATGTACAGGTACAGCAGCGCAATGAGGACATTGCTGCCCAGGTAGACGGCGCGAACGGTGTTGAGGACGTTGGGGTCGTCAAAGGGAATGCGCTTCGACACCTGCATCATGCCCAACATGATGACGAGGTTGGTGCTGTCCAGGACGGGATATTAGCATACATTGTCACCCGGTACAAATTCGATGCAGATGTCCTCTGCGCCGGCACACATGAAGCCACGCGACTGGTGATATTCCCCGATAGAGGGCCGTCGGACACATGTCCACGTGCAGAGGAACCAGAGATTCACCCACTCACATCTGGGGGTTGAGGCCGGCCATTGTGAAGTCGATAGGTGGGACAGACAGGCGACAAAGAGAAGGATGAAGTCGACAGTTGGCAACAATGTCAACAAAGAGAGTAACAATGCAAAACGTGCAACTCCAAACCCGAGGACGTGGTCGCAAGGCTCCAAGGAAGTGACGAGGAGAGTAATGGCTGGTCAGGGTCAAATGTTTTCCAGATGGTTCGCTCAACCTGGCCTTTTTGCCTCAAATGGGTGGCGGAGGCGTGGCTGACGTGCTCTGGTTGGTTGCAGAGCTCCAGGGCATTAGGGGACTCTCAGCCTCAGCCACAGTATACCCTTCCGTTGGAAACTTTTTCCGGATCCGATTTGACGATTGACTACTCCGTACTGAGTACATTTTCGGCTCGGCTTGATGCTACATCACATCAGCTCATTAGTCATGGCCAGTCTCTCCGCAAGCCATGGTAAATGGCGAGCTGAATCCGTCACTCTACGGTATGGTGCTGAGGTACATTGTCTATATTCCTTGGAGCTAAGAGGAAGTGTTCCCCATCCTCAGTTCCCAAACAGAACTATCAACTCCAGGCTGAGCAAGCAGGACACGCAGTTGGAGAGACGACTTGCAAGAAAAGTGTGGAAATCCACGTCCTGCAGTTCACCCACTGCCACCAAAAAAACCTGTTCATTCAGCATATGCCATGTTCCCGCTCGTTTTGCCGATGACCGAGAGCCACAGACAATGCCAAAAGTCGACTCCCAGATCTGGTATCAAGCATCATCTATGGAGAATGACGGCGATATATCTCCACGATGGACTCGAGTGCTCTCGACGTGCATCTTGTACAGCAGCCATCCTCCCAGTATGGACAGACTCACATCACACTATAGAGCCATTAGTATAAAAGTTTCTGCTCACCAGGATGGCGCATAACTGATAACGTGCTTCTCGGTTGATCAACTATATGGGCACTGCTTTACCTTGAAGCGAAGAGGCCGCTTTAGCAGCAATATCAGCGGCATCCTGATGTACCCTTTCCTCTTACCTGGGCCCAGAGCCTGGCTACGTCCGCCATATGGCATTGCAGGCCCCCGAGTTGCCGATCTTCTCTGCTATCAGTTAGATACGCTCAATTCGTAACGGCAGCATTGGTATTTTTGCGTGGCTCAGTTACTACCATGTGCCTGCGTCAAGGAGTGAGCCAAACGAACCAGAGCGGCAAGGTCGTGCAGGCGTCTTTCCACAACCGCAGTTGAGACACAGCGAACATGAACCGACATGACCCGATTCGTAAGTCGAGACGTAAGCGCTGCGGCCTCGTTGCTCATATTAAAAAATGTTGGGAATTCTTGATGCAAAATGCGAAACCCGCCCCCTCAGCCGGCATCAATAAAAACGTAGTCTCACCAAGGCCTCAACCAACTCTCCCTTAAACGATAATGAGCCGTGGATCCCGCCCGGCGACGCCAAATCCCATCAAATATCAACTCATTGAACATCAAAGTCAGCACCACCACAATGCAACACTACAAAGCCCGCTTCACCCGCTTCACACGCCAAATTACCGGCCCCGTATCCTCTTTCCACATGGCTTAAAAGCACAAAAGTCCAGACTAACCTAGTAACTGTGATCTGAACCCTGCAAGCCTCCATCCGGTCTCAGGCTAACGGCATATACTAGTAGTAAATGAGGGCTCATCGCCTTGTGGGCGGTGTCTGTATCATTAGACCCACAAACAAGCCCTGAATTCCGCCAGGTTTCAGCCAACTTGCCTCGCCTGTCTTACTGGCCCGATGGCTGAGCAAAGTAGCTCGTCAGGCCGCGTCCCTCACCAACCCAGAAGATGAGCCGGATGGAGTACCCCGGGACTTGGCGGCCGCAACAGGGCGAGTTTTCAGATAAGCCTCGAGATGCGTGGCTCGCTTGGCCCCCGCTGGCGCAGGCCATCACACGTGGCATTTGCAGGGCGTGGAAGCATGGAAGATTCTTTATATGTCTGCTTGTCAGCGCCCCCGGGGAGCGGAAACGGAAACCAGGCACAAAGGCAGAGAACACCATGTAGATGCCCGTATTCATTGATGACCGCGTGACGCACCGGTTCGTGAAAAGGAACAGTCGTCGTGGCCTACCGTATAGAGTACCGTACTTGCACGCCGAGTCGCTGACCAACACACAATCACCACCAAGGCGATGCTTGATCATCTGCAAGTGCTGCAAGCCGGGTTTTGCCCCCCGGCAAGCCCACCGCTGACCCATTGTGTAACCATCTCGCTGCATCGTCCGCCTTTAGAAGGACGCTGCCCTCCTCTCACAAAGCCCACGTCAGCCCTACGACAAAAAAGTCAGGGGTGATACGAGCGAGGGGTCTTGGATAGACGCATACACCAGTGGATTTTCGCAGCCGACAAGGAAAAAAAACAGACAAAAAAGCCATGTTGATCATCGGCGGCATCAGATGCATTCATTGCCCTGTAGCTGAGCCACGTTGAATGCAACTTTCTTTGCGCACCGCTGGTTACTCCGCTCAAAGGCCTTGGTGACCGAGGACTTTCTTTGTAGACGGCCTGGCTTGCAGATGGCTGGTGAAAAGGCAGCGCCATTGTTCTCGGTTTGTTGGACAGTGGTCAGGCAGTGCTTGCTTCTACGCCTGCATGCAGTTAAAGGGAGGGCGAAACAGCAGCCCATTTGTAAAGCGTAAAAGCAGCTTTTATTTATCCCTAACTGCAAAGAGCTGTTGTCGGCAGGGGGGGGGGGGGGGGGGGGGGCCATGGGGGCGTTGGGTGGGGG